ACTGTGGAAAAGAAGTACACTGAATCGGCCACAAATTCATGGACAACTAATGACAATAATTGGCCAACGCACGGGCTGCCCGTGCGAAGATGCGTCTCTTGCATAGTTCCCCGCAGTTTTCGTTGCCACCGACACCTGCTTTTTTGGCAAATGCTTCTAGCTAAACAAATTAAGACTGGCCACCAGAACCATCAGGAAACATCCCCTCAAAATTTCAGCTTTGTACCTTCCGTGGCCCCTGAGTTAGCAACTTACTGGAACAAATTTTCACGGGCCCGTGCATGTTTACCAAGCATACCTGACAGCTGGGTTCGAGCTGAATGAAACTTAGGTGGACGGGGTATATCCTCTTAAAATTACATTCCTTTAAAGTTATCAATTAACACGAAAAAAACTTTGGCGGGCTCGTACGCGGGTATCACGCTTACCCGGGGGCTGGGTTTGAGCCCACTAATACCCACTTCGACGGGGAACATCACCCTAAGATTTCAGCTTTTTAGCTTCTCAGATCCCCGAGTTATGGACTTACCCGAAAAAAATTTTGGCGGGCTCATACGCGGGTACTATGCCTACCCGGGGGCCGGGTTTGCGCTCACTAATACCCACTTGGACGGGGAACATTCCCCTAAGATTTCAGCTTTCTAGCTTCTCAGATCCCCGAGTTATGGACTTAACCGGAAAAATTTTGTCGGACTCATACGCGGGTATCATGTTCACCCGGGAGCTGGATTTGCGCTCACTAATACCCACTTGGACCGGGAACATTACCCTAAGACTTCAGCTTTCTGGCTTCTCAGATCCCCGAGTTATGGACCTCCTCGAAAAAAAAATTGGCAGGCTCGTACGCGGGTACCACGCTTACCCGGGAGCTGGTTTTGCGCTCACTGATACCCACTTGGACGGGGTACATCCCTCTAAGATTTCAGCTTTCTAGCTTCTCAGATCCCCGAGTTATGGGCTTACCCGAAAAAAATTTTGGCGGGCTCGTACGCGGGTACCATGTTTACCCGGGAGCTCGGTATGCGCTCGCTAATACCCACTTGGACGGGGAACATTCCCCTAAGATTTCAGCTTTCTAGCTTCTCAAACCCCGAAGTTATGGACTTACCCCAGAAGAATTTTGGCGGTCTCATACGCGGGTACCACGCCTACCCGGGGGCCGGGTTTGCGCTCACTAATATCCACTTGGACGGGGAACATCCCCTTAAGATTTCAGCTTTCTAGCTTCTCAGATCCCCGAGTTATGGACTTACCC